TTTGGTTCATTATGCTTCACTTAACTCTAACCTAATCATTTTACCCTTTTTGCCTTTCCATCCTTTTTGGATCACGAGGCTCTGACTGTTGGTATCCTAAGCTAATGTGTTTTGCTATGGTTACTAAACCAGCAGACAGATGGTACAAAAGTTTACTTGACAGGTCAAGAACTATGCTGGGATTATTTCTTTTCTGATATTATCATAGAATCACAGAAAATTAGGGTTTGAAAGGACCTCAGCAGGTTATCTAGTTCAGCCCCCTACTCAGAGCAAGACCACCCCTAACTATATCATCCCAGCCAAGGTTTTGTCTACCCCAGTCTTAAAAAACTCCAAAGGTTAATCGTATACGTAACTGTGAGCTATTTTTCCTATTTTGTTCTTACATGATAGTGTAACCAGTATGATATTTGATTTGTTTTAAGTGCATTTGAAGTAGGCTGGGCTCATTCTAGCATCACCATTATAACAATGCCTACTATTATCAGGATATAGCACCTAGGATACACATGGATGAAACAAGTGACATCCCACTTCTTTGTTCCTATTGCTTCTGTCAGGTCTGGGTGCAAAGAAGACGGCAGTAAGTATATCAGGACTTGAAGATGGATCAGGGCAGGCAGTGAAGATAAAAAATGGCTGTTGTGAACTGAACATGTATGATGTGTATATATCAATCATATATTGATATATACACATATGACACATATGACATGCACTCCTCTCCTGAAAATCAGGCCCCCAAAATTGTGTTGTATGTATTAAACAGGGAAACTATTTTCTGTGCTGGAAAAGCAGCAGTCCTGGAGACACTGTGCATGCCATGCAGCTGCCAAAATGGCTGCTGCTTGTGTCTGGCTCAGCAAGCCGAAAAAGCAGTGCTGTCTTACAGCCAGTTATCTATGCCTCTCAAAAAATCTTGCTTTCTACATTCTGCCTTGCAAAAAAACAAGGTGCATGTTTTATTGGGGGCATGTTGTATATAAGAACATATGGTTATTGAATACCCACTTTACCACTCTACATAGGGATGCAGCTAAATAACTGTGGAGCCCGAAACTAGAACAGAATATGGCTGGTTTATATGTTAAGCAGATTTTTTCCATTATAAGCCCATATATTTTCTCATGTCATTTCTGTTTTTCTGTGGTCTCGGCTTCATTAATAGAGTAATTTAAATATCTGTTAAATAGACCTCTGCTTAATATTTCTCTGCAATGTTGACTGTTCCTTGATTTTTATATGCTGTATTTCAAGTCCATGTTCCTTCGGCCGTGAGCAAAACTCCAACTACCATTTTTATCCCAGTTGAAGTTGACAGTCTACATATTGTCATGCCTCAAAAATAAACCTACATTACACCTTCATGAGTGAGGGGGAGGCTCATCATTCAAGACAGTGATAGAAATGAGTGTCCCTTATCATTATTCAGGGATTTGGAATTTATCACACTCTTGCCATTCATACTCATCAGTCCCATTTTAGAAAGATCGATAAAAACGCCAAGACAGAACCAGACTTTCCATCTACTAGACGCACTAAATGCACAAACATTGCAGACTCAGTGGTTGTTCTTAAGAGACTGAGATGGATAAGCTACTTCTGATTCTAATAGAGGGAGAATGTTATCAACAAGTACTCTTTGCAGAAAGAGCCTTTGTTTCAGTCAAGATGACTCACTGCATAACGTGCTATTGCTTACTAGCTAGCTGTACTAGAGGTCAAGTCAAATTACTTGTTGCCCCTGGCTATAGCTTTCCTTTATTATATATTTCCTTGTCCTATATTTCTGGATGACTGGGCTGGACGATGCTACTACAGCTTTTAACAATAAACTGTGTCAGTACGCATAAGCTGTTCCTCCTGGCTGCATCCCCAGTCTAAACGAAAAGAAACCTGTCCTCTCTCTACCCTCAGAGAAACATAGGGTAAGTGTTACTTGCTAGCATGTATGTAAGCAGGTTTCCTATCGGCTAAAATGAAACATTACAACTTTCAAAACGCTACATCCTGATTTGACTTTATCTATAGGCTGAAAGAGAGAGAAGGCTTGGAGAATGGACTCTTCCACTTACAATTTTAGCTTAAAAAACTTCTCTGGAGTAGGTTTTTTTTGTATTTTTCTTTTGTTTTGTTTTTTGGGTGGGAAGGTGGGGGGTAAGTTTCATTTGATATTGAGAATTGAGAGGTTTTTACAGAAAGACAACATAATCAACAGAAATCTTCATGCCTGTCTCTGTTCTCGCAACACTCTCATTCAAGGATAGCTATCACTGTATTTTGTTTTTTAGAACAGAGAAATTTAATTATACTTATGAACATAGGCACGATAAGTAGTTTCTTGAGGTCTGAAAAATTTCTTGCTGACACATGAAAAAACATTTGCGTTTGGTTACCATCTGTATATGCCCCAATCCAAAATATGGGACACAGAAAAAGTAGATACAAAACTTATGGTAGATAGCAACAGAATTAACTTGTTTCACTGCAAAAACTACGGTATCTGGTGCAAGGACTGGATTTTTTTCCCAGGCAGTAGTTTAACCTGTTGTTTTTCCCTAAAGAAAAATCACAGATTGATTTATTCCCAGGTCTCTTTCTTCCAAAATGGAGTTACATCAAATAAAATCAACTTGTAAAACAACTTCCTTTTTTAAAAAAAGGAAGTTGTTATGTCTGTTATCCTAGACATCATTTTATTGTTATGGCATTCAAATAATTTCTAGGAGTGTATATCTTCAGAAAGATCTTGTGGGGTTACATGCATATTCTATGTGGGCCAAACTTTGAGCTTCAATATGTACTCAACTAGGTAAGCAGGCCTGAATTCTGTAAGTGTTGAATATCCAAGCTGCTCCCACTGAAACAATAGAAGATATTAAGTATGCAGCACTTCTGAGAATCTGAAAAAGTCTTCCCTGTCAATTTACGAACCTAAATTTAGAATCCTGTTTTTAAAAATCCCAACTAAATTGTTCTCGTCTTTTTCATGTATATATGAAAAAAATACACACACACACCCACACACGTATGTAATATAGTTTAACAGAACCAACAGATCGAGGGAGGTGATGTTCTCTCTCTCTGGGGCATTGGTCAGGCCGCAGTTGGAGTACTGTGTCCAGTTTTGGGCACCGCACTTCAAGAGGGATGCGGAGAATCTGGAGAGTGTCCAGAGGAGGGCCACTCGTATGATTAGTGGCCTCCGTGCAAGACCCTATATGGGGAGGTTGAGGGATCTGGATCTCTTCAGCCTTCACAAGAGACAGCTGAGGGGTGACCTTATAGCTGCCTATAAGTTTATCAAGGGAGGACAACAGAGAATTGGAGATGCACTATTTACCAGGGCACCCCTAATAGTAACTAGGAATAACGGGTACAAACTAGTGGAGAGTAGATTCAGGTTAGACATTAGGAGGAACTTTTTCATAGTAAATATGGCCAGAATCTGGAACGGGCTGCCAAGGGAGGTGGTACTCTCACCTAACTTGGAGGTCTTCAAGAGGAGGCTAGATAGACCTGATGGGGGTCGTATGACCTCAGCGCTCTTTCCTGCCTGGGGCAGTGGGTTGGACATGATGATCCTTTGTGGTCCCTTCCAACTCTACAATCTATGAATGTGTACACATGCTTAATTATATACATATTTACACATAAAGTGTACACATGTATACATGCACATTTTATATAACTGCTTGGAAAACATTATAAGGCATTATATACCAAGTTTTTAAATCACTGGCATCTGAGCTACCCTTGATTTCCTTCATTAAGATGAATGTGTTTCTGCAGCACTGTCCCTTAAACAGAGCTGTAAGAATATAAGCAACTGTCTGTGTTCAAATACTGAAAGCTGTCCCCAGTGGGAGAAAGGTTGATTTACAGTTTCAGCGTATAAGTAGATTCTGTCTATAAACCTACAGGTAAGTTAATAAGTTTCTACATTGCTCCCATCACTATATAGCCTGATGTTCTCAAATATTATTATTCTTCCCAATATTGTAGCAAGATGCAAGTATTATTATCATCTTCCTATTAAAGATGGAAAACAAGGCATAAAAATATTAAAATCCACAAAGGTATTTAGGATACTAAATCACTAGGCACCTACCTCCCATGGTTATTACTTGGAGTTAGAACCTTAAATACTTTTGTGGGCCAGTACGTGACTTAAAGGTCACAGAGGTGCTGGGGCAGAGGCAGGGTCTGAACTAGATGCTGAATTTCAGTATAATGTCTTAAACCTGTGGAGACCACGTGCAGAGCTAACTACATACAACAATTAGTTTCAGCTGTGGCCCTAGTTCATACAAAAAGTATGTGTAGTCTTTGGTTCTCATTTTAAGACAATTACAAACTCTAAACTTCTAGTTCAAATAGGCTCATAATCTTATCACTATTTTTTATAAATAGGGGTCTATTTAATTCGCAGTTTTGCGTTTTTTGCGGAAACCATGAAAAATGGCATTGGCTGTGATTTCTCATGAAATTAACTTAAAAAATCCCCAGCGCTTAATTCATATAATACTCTGTTTTAGGAAGTCACAATGCTTACTGTAATACAAAGAAAACATGACAATCACTGCAGCAATAGAGCACACAATTGAGAATTACTATCTGCTAGTGATGTAGAGTAAGTGAAGGCACCAGTCAGTGAAGTAAAAATGTTTCAGCGCTATCTTTTAAGAAGTTACATGAGGAATTTTCTATTATATTATACAGTATATGCCTCTCTACCAATCAGGGGTGAGTGGTAGGGACACCAGGAAATGCATGTGAAATCCACTCTTCGTGCCACAACCAAGCCACAAAAATTGCTTTGTCTCTGCGTGCTAAGTAGACCCCTAGTTATAAATATCCTCTCTTCGGGCAACCATTGTGGTTCTGTTGCATCAAGCCTATTATGATCATGTTTTGGTATAAGGATTATTTTGAAAAGAAAAATTATCTAGCAAATAAAAGCATAAAACTCTTTAATTATATAAGATTGCTCTTACCTGGGTAGAAACACACTTTCCACTACATAGAAGTCTTGCATAAGTACATCTCTGTCTGGTTTAGATGTGAGGTTACCTACTGTGTATCCTATTCCCAGCTGAATCGCTCCTTTAATAGCAGAGGATGCAGTCTGCAAAGAAAATAAACACTTCAATGTCAGTTTGCTATAACTGGATTCTTGCTCTTTATCATGAATACAATTTGTACATAGCATTTAAATTGTTTTATAAGGGTGATTTCTATCCAACCTTACTTTCTTGGGTTGGGAAGCAGAAGAGAAATTAACTTGTAACTGAAGCTGACTGTTTCTCATGATGTAAAGGAATCCTGTGGTGTATCTGAAGTCTCAGAAAATTTATCATAATTCATAACTGATATTGGTTGAGATTACAAAACTGACCAAGGGATTTAGACACTAAGTTTCTATAGATTTCTAATTGCACTTGGTATCCCAATCCCTCCAATAGCTTGGAAATATCACCTGTAAACTTCTGGGGAAAGCTCTTATAAATTCTAAGGGATTACATGCATGTGCAAAGTTACTATGGCACTGATGACATCTGATCTTTTAAGTATAGATTATTGATATAAATATATTCCTTTTATAACAACATGAGTGAGGTATTAAGAATAGAAAACATAATCAGTTTAATCCCACTGATCACCAACAGTGTTCACTTCCATTTCTTCAGTACATAGTTCATAATTGCTACCAAAAAAAATCGGAATGAACACCACCACTGTGCTAGGTTTAAATTCCACATTTAAAAAACCCCTATTTTATTCGTCATACGTTTGCTACTTAGCATTTTTTGTTGCTGCCAAGTACCCAATCTGGATTAGACCATAGTGTATGAGGTGCTGTACATGAACAACTACCCTTCCTTACACTAAATAGTTTGTGACTCTACAGGTAGTCCTATTTGTAGAGTTGGGGTGGTAGAACTGAGTCTCTAGCAGGAATCCCAGCTCAGAAAAGTTTGTTAAGAAAAGATGGAGCAAGGAAGTATATCAGACAACCAGTGGGAAGCGCGAGAAAAGGATAACAGTAAAAGAGAGCTTTAAGTTCAACAGACCAACTAAGTGGATAATTCACACGTTCCAGCAAACAGGGAAATTATGACAGCAAAAGACAGCATTTTACATTTGAGTAAAATATTACTGCAGATTTGGGAAAGCATCTGAACCAGCACATTTTCATTGAAATAGCTGGAGTTACAAAAAAAGACATGAGAAGTGAACTACGATCTAGCACAACTGCACACACTGTAGTGACAGATTACCATATTTTTAAAGGAGAAATGATGTAGTGACATGTACCTCAAATAATTAAAACTACATGCCAGGCAGATTCTGCACATACATAATAGCTCATAACAAGCGATTTGGTGGGAACAAGAAACACAGCCCTTCTTGAAGTGCTACTTTGATTTTTTTTAAAAGGTTTGGTTCATGCGTTAAGAAGATTCCTGCTTCTCTTTCCTTGAAAGGCTTCTATTCATGAATGATTAATGACCTGCATAGACACTAATTATGTAACTTTGATTAATTTGGTATTCATCCAGTCAGGCAGATTTTTGGTACACAACTGACCACACACATAGTAAATGAGCACAGAGAAGTAGAGGCTGAAAAGGTGACAGATAACAAGCTGCAGCTGATAAACAAGAGCAGATTTTAGGTAAGTCAGGCAGAAAAGTGACAGGAAGCTTAAAAGAACATTGACCAAGCCAACTGGGTTGTATTTCAGGAACAGGAGGAGTTTCTAAAGCAAACAAATTGCCAAGAACATGTATAGCCTCAGGAAGAAGTTCTTTAGCCTTTTCATGGCATGATCACACCTTAATAGAAAGGTTGTCTCCTAGATGACCTTTACTCCCATTCATGACTAAAGAGGAACTGTTCTCCACTTTCAATCAAACAACATCACTTTAGTAATCGTAGCAATCACTTAAATTGAGAAATAATACTGGGAGAGCATCTAGTGTGTTTTCTGACCTTTTAAAAGTAATTTGTAGCATCTAGAAATAAAATCAGACACTGTAACCAGCCAAGATTAAAGATTTATGTGCATTTTTACATGGAATCTCTCTCACAGAGACCATTTATTCCAGTTTAAAAATATATATGTTTCTGGTCTTATGAACTGAATTTTAGGGGAAGCATAGAAGATGATAAGCAGACCATTTAACAGTTTTTCTCCAAGCCTAAAGGTGAACCAAGATGAGTGGGTCCCTATGCTGTTATTGCAAAAATATATTTCCTGGAGCTCAAAGGCCCTAAATGGGAACAAGAAAATTCCACTCCCCCCTTGCATTTTTCCCAACTGCATTTCAATTTTTTTTTCAGTATCTCAAGGTAACTCCACAAAACATGATCTGGTTTTTAACAAGCCTGTTTTATTTTTGAATTTCTCCTTAAAGACCCTACTACTCTAGAGACAGCAATACAGCTCAGCAGCCTCCTACGCCAAGATTTCTCTTTGAGAGATTGAAATTGATTTTTCTTCATTTCAGCCTCATGTGAAGATTCAGAAAGTGTCCCTTTACCCATCCATCAACCATAATGGTACAGGAACTTATGGATCTAATAAACTTGTATCAACACATTTTTAGGGCATCAATAAATGGCAAAGTGAGTAGGATCAACAGTGATTATGTACTGTTTCATAATATAAAGTTCACAAACTAATTGGCTTCTTATCCTGTGTGGGGACTGCATACAAGGTCCTAATATTTGATGCTTGATAAATGAATCATTTGTGCTTTCAAAAAACAATCACAATCTGATAATGGAAACTGGAAGGGTATTTTGAAGAGTTGGGGGGGTTGTTTTTTGTTGAAAACAATAAACAGGAAAAAATATGTCAAATTTTATCACAAAGTACTGTAGAATAATATACATATTTTCCCATCTGCAGGAAAAATATTACAGTTAAAAGCTTCTAAGTGGTTTTGTGGCTTTTCTAGACCAAATGTTAAAATATAACATTCTCAAACATTTGTACATTTTTCATGTTAATTACAGTAAAAGGTGGTTACTGAATAGGAAGTTTGCTACACTGACAAAAGGGTTATATTTATGTCATGCCACAGTTAAACTAATGCATCTTTTTACAGCCCCCAGTGGGGACATTGGAAAGGAAGACATGAAAGAAGTTCCTGCATCCAGGGAAGCTAAGAAACTGCTCCCACACTGCTCCCCTTGGACAGCCTAGTGTCCCCAAGTGTGTGGGGGCATAGATAGATCTCCTTCTATACATCCCACTGGCCCACCGGATGGGATCAGTCCGATGTGGGGAGAGGGAAAAGCTGCATTCTCCGAGGGGTGTTGCCCCTTGGGTGCACAGACTTCTTCACACAGAGTTCCAGCCAAAATCCTGTCTTTGGATCCTGTCTTTGGATCCTGTCCTTGGATCCTGTCTTTAAGGTAAAATTCCTCATGGAGTGACTTCAGACCATCTCCCCCATGGCAATGTGCCTATGCCTTAAACCCGAGACTGTGCCCAACTAAGGCTTTTAGCCATATCAATGTGCGTCTGGTTGTTAGATCAGCAAATTGTAAAACAACAATATTGGAGAGTGCTACTCTGAGCTCATCAGTGTTCTTCTCAAGCCAGTTCTTTTTATTGCAAACTGTGACCCACCAGACCTGGGCTACTTCATCTTTTGACAGGAATCAACAATTTTGGAATCTGAAGTCAGCCCTGTTGTTGTACATGTTCACATTGAAAACCAAACCTCGTCCATTCTTCCCTCCCATGTAAACAACGTCATTTTATCTTTGCTCTGGGACATGGGATTCTCTCTCTTTCTGGCACAAATAATTATAAATCATGACACATACACTAAATATATCTTCTTATAAAATATACATCCTCATTATAATTATGTCCTCACTAAAGACTACATAGGGAAAATGTTACTTGGATACTAAGAAGACAGCAAGTCATCCTGATGAAAGACTACAGAATAGAAGAAACTATCATACAAGATACAGTTTTGAACTTATGGGTACTTTATCGACAGGGAAAGTGTTTCCCCATGTATTGCTATTTCAACACATAGTAAATAGGACTGGTCTTCCCTACTTTACCAAGCTGAAAAACTGAAACTAGCTGATATGCAAATAGTTTCTCAATGGCACTACAAACAAGATCTTAAATCCTTTCAAAGCAGGCAAAGTCAGCACATGATCCCATGAATCAGCAACTAGTATTGTAATGCTACTCATCAACCACAGATGTAGGCTTTCTATTCCAGTCTAGAACTATAGAATTTATCACAAGTACAGTAATTGAAGGTAGGGTAATGGGGGCAGCAGCACCAGTCACCTCTGTGGGAAGGTGGGAGGGGAGGACAAAAAGGCAGTATTGCTCTGGATGTCACACAGTTGCCCTGGGCACAGAGGTGCCTGGCTATGCCTTTATCACATGCATGCACTACCTACCACTACTGCAGATAGAAGTTACTAAATAATTTTATAGGCAGACAACGTTCCTTGGGTGAATTTGATATCTTTTATTAGACCAACCCAAATAGTTCGAGAATAATTTTATGTCACTTGCAAATCAAGGAAAGTGATTCTTCCACTCTTTTCAGCACTGGCAATGCCTGACCTGGAGTATGCTGTTCAGTTTGGGTCCCCAACACTTCAAGAAAGATGTGGAGAGATTGGAAAGAATCCAACAGAGAACAAAAATAATCAGAGGCCTGGGAAGCATGACTTATAAGCATAGATCCTGGTCATCTCTGTTTAAAAATCCCATGTTATCTGATCAAAAACACGAAAATCCATGTTTTTCCACCATTAAAATGAAACACCACTACACATATAGGTATCAGTTGAACACAATGTTTATTGATATATTTACAATTTAAAAGCAATTTGGAAACCTATTGTGCCTCAATCATTATTCTTATATAATAAAGGGTTTAGTCCATCTGTCTGTCTGTCCATAATGCTCTTGGAGCACTCCGATTGGTTAGTGAAACAACCAATCAGAGTGCAGAGCACCATGATGGTGGGGATGGAGGGGACGGAGCAGGGGGGCGAGGCCAGCACAGCTGACCTTGCCCCCCACCCCCCAGAGGTGTCGGAGCACCACCATGACAGTGGGGACAGAATGGT